TATCATCATTCCAGGATATCTTTAGTAATAGGATGCCTGATATGTTGAAAAATTCTATCTTTCATCACACATGATAACTAGCTGCACCAGATAAATGCAGTAAGCAGTATGGGTGGGAAGCTAGTTTCTAATCCTCTATTTCACACCCAATGCTTCACATTATATTTTTCCTATGTAGTGGTAATCTCTGCATACAGATAAGAGTATCTCATATATTCTGAAGTGCATCATTAGTGTTATTTTCACCAGTGCCGGTCCTACCCTTAGGCAGAGGGAGGTATCTGATTTTGGGTGTTATGAAAGGGCAGCCAATTTGCAACCATTTATTATTTTTTTGTTTTCACTCCCAGGGAAAAGTTATTCTGCCCCAGATGCCAGAATAATTTGGTCAGCTGTGGGTATTATGCACCTTGATTTGCTGGTGAGAGGGGACCATTTGCTTGTCTACTTGAGGCAGCAAAACATCTTGGGCTGGCCTGCTTTCATAACAAGTATGTGGATGTGTCATTCTTGCAAAATGGCCCCTGGTGTACACTGGATCAGGTGCTTATGCTTTCAATGTGAGAGGCGTATCTAGGATGGAATTTTGAGAAAGAATACAAGACCTTCAGATCCTCTGACAGTGAACTCTTATGTAAAAACTAGCAAGGTAGCTAGGGGTGAGTGAGTGGACTGGTGGAGGAATGATAGAATCAAATGGTTTCTGTCCTGGCTGTGAATGAAGGAAACATCCCTCAGTTCTTCCCTTTTCCACCAGCCTATTTGGTAGAAGTTTTTTTTCTATATCACTATCTTGGTAAGATGCTATTATCCTGTGTTTCCATGCTGGCTATAGGGGAGAGAGCTTCCTCTTCTTTGAGGCCAGCATAAAAATACAGGCTACTAGCCTCTGAGTGGGGTAGGGTTTGGAGTTTTTTTTCCAGGTTAGTAACTTTTCTGAGATTATTTACAAAGCTGCTTTAAAGAGGCATCTGTTTGTGTTTTTCTCTGGATTAAGTTGGAACAAAATGCACAAATCCTTTGGGTGCCTCATTTGAAAATTAAATATGCACCAAGTTAGATTGTTTAAGAATTTCCAGGAGTGTAGCCATGTTACTTATGCACCACAAGTACTAACACATTTATTATGGCATAAGCTTTCAGTGACTAGAGTCTGCTTCATCAGATACACACAGTGTTATTTTGAGTTGGCAGGTAGAGCCGCATGGTTGTAGATAGGCAAACTGTAAGCAGTCATGTTAGAAGCAAAAAGTACAGATACTGATAATTATATTAAAACTTAAAATATTGAGAGGGGGGGGTAACCCACAGTGACTATTCACAATGTCGTATTCTGCTAGAAGCACACTATCTCTTTCCTGAGCAAACTTTTTAAGAATTGCAGCAGCCCATTTTATGTTACATTTCTTTAATGTAGTTCATGTTTAGTGGCCTTTAAGGGTTTGTTATGATAACTGATTTTAACGTTGGGACTACTTAGCAGCTTTAAAAGCATTTATATTTACATTTTATCTATGTTTTTTGGTGAATTGCCTAACAGAGCAGGCAGGCTTTATGTTTCAGAGAGAGAAGGAGGAGGAAGAAACACCCACGAGTGGATAACCTATCCAAGCAGTCTTAATGATACCTCCTCTTTTCTTTCCATTTAAAAATATATTTCAAGATTGCTGCAGGCATCTTTCTCTTCTGAATAGTAACTGGCCTTGCTAACACTGTTTCTTGGCAAGCTGAGGTTCTTTGAGTTTTAACTACTTTGTAAACTGTAAAAAATATCTGTGTTGATATTTCCTTTATTCAAGTTCTATGAAGTCCAGCGTGGTCATATTTTGCATTTTGTTCAGAGGAGTCTACATATGAAAAACATTACAGCATATACACACACAGCTATAAGTTATTGGACACTTCTTTCTAAGGCTGACCTTTATATAAATGTGACACTATCTGCATTAATAAACTATGATCTTGGATTATGAATTCACAAATAGGCTCTATCCCAGGGGTGGGGAACCTGTGGCTCTTCAAATGATGTTGGATTCCAGTTTTATACACCAGAGAATTTATGTGCCTAGGGCTAGGAAACATTATATCCTCATCCTGGTTAAAGTTAATTGTTTCAGCATCATTTGCACTTGGGGACATTGGGGGACCGATGTTCCTCTCTAAGCTGTTAGCCTGGTGTGGTGGCGGGATTTTCTGTTGTTGTGCAATACAGACTTTTTTGTGGGGTGGGGTGTCTGGGAGAAAATTGTTCTCTGTGTTGAGCCACTGTGATACTTTTCTCCCTTGGTGTCTCTTGATGCTTAATGTGCAGAAAATAGAGAGCCCCTGAGATACATCTCATTCAAAATCAAAGCATTAAAAGTCAGAAGTTGGTAGCTTTCAAACTTTCCAGGTCTCTCCCCCACTGGCATTAATTGCCCTCCTGCTGTGACAGTTTTGAAGCTGTTTAACATTCAGCACCTGCTTAGTTTGTCTGTCTCATTTTCTGGGGGTTTATTCGTTTCCTGTAAAGCTTCTTTGTAAACCTCCACTGTGTATGTTGAAATAAGCTTCATAAAGCAGTTGTCACCTTATACTTTACAAAAGGTCGTCCCTTGGTAATTCATCTTAACATGTAGATGGAAAACGAAGCCTGGCACTGAATCATGTTGCTGACCCTACCACACTACAGATATTACTCCCCTGATTGGTGTGACACTTATCTTGCTTCCCTTTCCTGCTCACACATAGTGCAGCTGCCTCATCTCTGAGGCCACTTGATGCCCATGCAGAGGAAAGAGGTTATATGAATGTGCATGAAATCCAGCATGTAAACCTGAGCAGCAATGATCACTCTCCCATATCAGATAGGAATTTCCTATCTGATATGGGCACATTGAGATTTTCACACAGAGAGAGAATATTAATGGAATCTAGAATTGTAGAGTTGGAAGGGACTCTGAGGGTCATCTAGCCCAACCCCCTGCAATGCAAGAATCTCAACTAGATCATAATAGAATCATAGAATTGTCAGCTTTAAAGGCAGGGGTCAGAGAGGCTACTGCGGAGGTATGTGGTTTCAGGCATTGGTGGGTCAATCTTGGAGGCAAAACACATGCATCACACAATGCGCTGTAATCTGCTCCTTTTTGAAGTGCAAGAATCACAGGGATTTAGTCTCTGTCACAACATTATATTTTGTGCATGAAGTATGGGCCCACATGCAGGTCTTCTGACCTTTTTAGTTAAACAATTGAATTGCCGGTTTAACAATAGACAGGTTGGTAGCTGTGTCAATTGGCCCTCTCTGCACCTTTAACTGAGTTTTCCTCCTACAAAGGAAGTTGTTTTTCCTTTTTCTGGGCAGCAGTAAAAAAGATCAGTTTGAGAAGGGCTCTTCTTTTCTCTGGTTGAGAGTAAAAAATGCAATTGGTTGTAAGCCTTCTAAGAAACTGCTGTAACTCCAGCCTTCTTTCCTTGATATAGTTGTTCCTTACCTCTGGAGTTTAACATGTCAACATACTGCTTTTATGGTTGTTTTTCTCACTTTCCTAATATTACATTAGGGTTTACAAATACAATTTTTTGTTGTTTGCTTTTTCCTTGCTCAAAAACTCAGCCTGCCAGAGTCTGGAGTATTTCCAGCCCAGGTTTTAAATAAAGCTCAGGTAGCCCTAGAAACTAGGCTCTGAGACAGCTTAGCAGAGAGATCTCTGGTGAGCTGAGGATGGTGCCACATTTGCCCTAATGGACCAGCTTCTATTGCAGCTTGGTAGAAGTCAGGCAGAAATCTGCTGTTGACAGGAAACCAAAACTGTACTGTAGAACACTTGGCTGAAATCAGGGTACCAGGATAAGTATGTAGGTAACAGTGTCTGCAGGATCCTATATGATGATAATTGTTGCTACTCTAAGATGTACATGGGAAGTCCACAAGCATTGCACACTGCTACCTCTGCTATGTGTGTGGGGGAGTGTACATGTGTGCAAAGGTGGGGAGACTTCTAAAATGTAACTTTGGTGTTAAAAGTGATGTGGCAGAAGACAAAAAGTTAGGTCAGAATGGGGGTGGGTGCAGGAGAAACATGGAGTTGGAAATCTGGGAGAGAGTTCAAGGGAGGGGTTATTGAGGTCAGGGGTTCAATGTCTGTGGATGAGAAAAAGCCTTTGAAAGGCAGTCAGCAAAGAGAGGGATTAGAGGGAAAGTTGCTGCAGTGAAAGAGCATATTCTTCCGTAAGAGCCTCAGTCTGCTCATGTTTTAAGATCTTTGAGGGACGCTCTTTTTTCTCTCCCACCAAAAGCTGGGGTTCATTTGTTGGAACTCAAGAGAAATACCATTTTGGTAGCTGCATCTACAGGCGACTTACCATAGAAGACCCACCTAACCTCTTCTCTAATGAGCTTCCACCAACAGACAGAGATTGTCTTAGTCAGACAGGGCTTTGATTAAGTTGTTACAGCCAGAGTAAATGTGTTGAAATTTCAAAACAAAAAAAATTCCTTCCAGTAGCACCTTTATTTTTTTCCCCAAAATTTCAAAATAAAAAAAAATTCCTTCCAGTAGCACCTTTATTTTTTTTTTTTGTTTTGACTATGGCAGACCAACACGGCTACCTATCTGTGTTGAAATTTGTTAAACTGGCTGTTGTCTCCATTAGTTTCATTGATGCATTTTATTTGCTTTTAAAAAACCCTGTTGATCTGTATTTTACTGCTGTTGACTGCCTTGAACACCGTTTTTGAAAAGACGTAATTTTAGCAAACAAAGGCTGGAAGCTGGAAATGGGATTAAAATGGCCTGGCAGTGGAGAGGATTGTATATTGGCAAAACAAAGTTAACACATAGAGTAACCTGGGAATTAGCAGCGGTATTTTATTGCAGACCCGACTTGTCACTTTATGAAACGAGTATGACTGTAACATTGCCTTGGAATCTCAGTTTGGCAGATGTTGGAGATGGGAAGAACACTGTCTACATTTCTGACCAAACATCAAATATTTTGCCTCTTTGTTGACGTAGGTTTTGATGAACTCCATGCCTGTGCTGATCCTGGATTCCCTGAATATGGATATAAGATGCCTGGCGCAGGTGTTTTCTTTGAAAGTTCAGTAGTCCGGTTCCATTGCCAAGAAGGATACAGGCTTAAGGGCCCATCCAAAAAGCTTTGTGAGAGACATTTCAACGGCTCCCTAAGCTGGAAGCCAAGCGAGAAACCCGTGTGCCTCCAAGAAGGTAAGTCTATTTACTGCTGACAAACTTTGCTTGTGAAAACTCCATATTTCTATCATATCTCTGCTTCCAGCTCACAGGATCATGCTCATTTTTTCTTTCTTTCTGAGAAGACTTTTTTACAACAAATGGAAACTGGAGACCTAGCTGAATCCAGGCAATAAATGCAATATCATTTTCATTCCGACCAATAGTATTCCAGGTTATCCTGGGTTCCCCAGGCAAAACCTTCAATTCCTCTTGAGCAAACAATCATTAGAGTTAAAATATTTATAAAGAATGTTGTGTGCTGACAAATTTGGTACATTCTTATCCCTGTGTGTTTGGTGGGCTCTGAATTGGGGCAGAAGATTCAGGAGTCTCTTGATACATCTTAATGAACAGATGAAAAGTTCATCTGATGTTATTAGTTGTATTTAATTACTATTCTGACAAATGAGTGCTCTTTGTAAAATTTTAATGTTATGTTTTACTGGGCATTATGGTTAAATTTATAATGATGATAAGGGTATGTGTTAAATGGAGTATTAAATCAGTTATGTATTGCAGGGGATGTTGTAAATTATTCATTTGGGTTCGGAAAAGAATGGCAGCCGGATTATAAAATGCAGTAATAATGCAATTTTACTTCTATATTTAGGAACACATCTGTGGGAATAAAAGAACTTGTTTTCTTTTGTATGTAATTAGTTCAATTTTCTTATGCTCATTTTCTGTTTCAGACATATTTGACAATTTTTGCTGGTCTAACTCTGGCTCTTGCCAGCAGTAGTTTTGGAAAAAAATCTTTGTCCGTGGAAAAGCTTCACCATTTATTAAACAACATGCACTAAAACTCCAGCTCTTTGATTTATTGGGTCCTTGTCAGTGATAATGTTGTGATCAAGAAATTTAAAAATATGTCTTTAGTGTGTTTGTGCATGAATGTGCAAACATGGATAAACACACCACTAAAAATGTTCAGATACCATTTTGCTGGAAGAATCAGCTTGCTATGTATTTTAATAGTGTTGATCAAGCCCTTGTCATGAGCAATACATGCATTTGCAGCAAATTAGATCAACTGAACATTGGGGGGGCGTGGGGCAAAGAGGTGGGGAACCTGTTTTTCCTCCTCTGTGACACTTCAAGTATTGTCATGTTTTAAGTCTCCTCCTTGTGTTGCAGCTGCCAACAAGGTGGTATTGGTCTAACTGGAGGTGTGAAATGTTTATTTCACAAGTTGCCATTGGCTAAAGCAAAATTGGCATAGATATTTTGGACATTTGTGATGGTTCAAAAGAGGGGAATGACAAGGTATTGTCATCAGTAGCATGGAGTCCCAAGCAATAGTGTATTATGAGAATAGTGAAATCACGAGGAGCACCAGCTCTTCAAAGAAGTCAATCAGAATCAGAAGCCTTCCTTGTTTCTATCAGCTGAATAATGTGTAGAACCCAATGATTTTGGGATTGCAGGTTGTTCTATTTTCTTTGGGCCATGATCATTTGCTGCATGGCAGTGACACTATATTTGAGATTCTTTGCCACACTTTACACTTTATCTTTCTTGCTTCAGGTTAGCAAGCTTTGTGTGCATACTAAGTTTGTTTTCCACATTATTACATTCTGAAGGCAAACAGAATCAAATTTTCTTAGGCCTGGAAGACAATTTTTCTTTAGGATGATGGTTGTGCATTTTATGCTGTGGTAGTAATCTCATGAAAGGTATTTATTTATGTTTTGCTTTTCACTTGTGCACTGTTCTTTGTCCATGCCCACACACCTTTGCAGACATTGGCACTGGAAGTCATATAGTATCAAGGTAAAGGATGAAGTGACAGTATATGCAGAACCCTTAAATGGTTGGGGACGGCAAATGATGTATCCGCATATCCACAATGTAAGATTGCATATTACAGCCTTGTAATTATGTTTTCGTTATTTTTAGCAAGTAAAAAAACCCTGCTTCCAGCCTTCTAGGCGCCTAGATGTGGCCCCACTTACTCTCAGTGTAAGCATGTGCTGCCCCCTCCTGGCCTCCCACCAATGCTCTGATGTGATCTGGAATTGCTGTCAATGAGGAAACACAAACATTTGCTTATTTGCAGCGCCAAAAACACTGAAGCACATCCTCTGCTCAGACTGATAAGACAGATTTGTATATCATATTGGTGGCAAAACCCACAGCAGCATTTTTAAACAATCTGATATAATAATAATAATAATAATAATAATAATAATAATAATAATAATATATTATTTATACCCCACCCATCTGGCTGGGTTTCCCCAGCCACTCTGGGCAGCTTTCAACAGAATATTAAAATACAATAGTCTATTAAACATTAAAAGCTTCCCTAAACAGGGCTGCCTTCAGATGTCTTCTAAAAGTCTGGTAGTTGTTTTTCTCTTTGACATCTGGTGGGAGGGTGTTCCACAGGGCGGGTGCCACTACCGAGAAGGCCCTTTGCCTGGTTCCCTGTGACTTGGCTTCTCGCAGCGAGGGAACCGCCAGAAGGCCCTTGGCACTGGACCTCAGTGTCCGGGCAGAACAATGGGGGTGCAGACGCTCCTTCAGGTATACTGGACCAAGGCCATTTAGGCTTTTGAAGGTCAGCACCAACACTTTGAATTGTGCTCAGAAATGTACTGGGAGCCAGTGTAGGTCTTTCAAGACTAGTGTTATGTGGTCTCGGCGGCCACTCCCAATCACCAGTCTAGCTGCTGCATTCTGGATTAGTTCTAGTTGTCTGGATTAAATAACACATACAGGTCACGAGGTCTTACTATTGGCTTGTAAATTTTTGATCAAACCATATCCTGGGTTCGTTGGTAGAAGAATACCTAAAAAACAAGTTGAGCTGCATTGATAGATTGCTAATAGATTTTAACGCTAACTATCAACCATGGTATCTATACCAGTTATATCAGGAATAAACACTTTTGAGCTTAACTCTTCCTTTTAGGAATAATCCTGCAGTACATTTTCAGGGTGTCTGGGTGTTAGGGGAGGGGCATTACTTTTGGCGGGGGTCACATTGCTTCTTCTGGGGTAGTTTGTACACCTTTGGTCCCCATCCTGCACTCAGTTCTCACCTGTGGCTCTTAGAAGCTGTCAGCATGCAGCAGCAGCCACACCTTGGGAAATTGCTTTGACTGGCCAGCTAAACCAGCTGAGGGTAGCCGATGGGTCTCAAACCCTCGGTGAGTTTCCCCTGCATGTGAAAATGCAGCCTCCAAAATGTCTTGGACCAACCCATGTCAATCTACCCTTGGGATGATTGTGTGACTGTTCCATTATTCTTTTAAAAGTTGGATTTTCTTCTGTTGGAGGGTGGGGGGCAGAGTATGGAATGAGCATAGGGGAAACATCAGTACGTCATACAGATGCCCTGTAAAAAGTGAGTGAACAAAGTATGGAAATTCTGCGCTAAATGTCTATTGGTTCTGGTACTTGATATGTCAAGACTGGGTGGGACAACATTAGCTTTGCTACAATCCTTTCAGTATACAAGGAACCAGTTCTAGGAAGACAATTGCACTGCACAAGCTCGGAAGCATTGTGGGTTTTTTACATTCTTAGCCAGAGAAAAGTACTCCCAGAAAAGGAACTCGGTTTGGTATGCTGTCTCAAATTAAAAACTGGAGCCAAAACCAGGCAAATAGGTGATTTGACAACATAGCAAACTAACATATGCTACTGCTTTTCAAGTCACAAACTTGGCTATACTCCTGTTAAGACTAAAAGAAGCTGGGGGTTTAGACTGCTTCTATTCACTGACAGAAAAGCACACCTTTCTGAGCAGTTTCAAATGTAGAGGGGACAGGAGTTACAAGCATCTGTGTTGTGTAAATAGTTCAAGTGTGATCAATCTACAGGGAAACAGAAAACACAATACGTGTATTTGCACTTACTACTCTCGCAGCACTCATGTCCTGACTCAACTTATTATTTAGAGGGAGCAGAATTTGAATGTTTTGCTTTGCTTATGCCTCTTTTCTTCACTAGCCCTATACATTGTGATGCTGTCTTTACTGTTGCTTCCTCCCCCTTCTCTGGTTTTTGTGTGTATGCATGTTATGGAACACAAGTAACTTGCATGAGGCAGCAGAGGATGGCTGAGTGGGCATAAGAATGATGCACACAAACCTATTATTCCCTAACAACCCTTGTGTTACTTACATCCATAAGTGGGAGAAGGGGGGACAAACAGGGCTCTGTGCATGGGCACAGTGGACTAGGTCATGTGCAAAATGTAATGTGCAAAGTACCTCTCAGGCTCGTTAATGTTGGATGTCTTAGTGCTATACTTCTGTCATAACAGAATATTACACTTGGGGATTTCAGAGCTTGCATTTTCTCTGTTTATCTTTGTTAAAAGGTAAGCACCACATTGATCTGCTAAAGCTGGGTTTGTTTTGTTTTGCTTCTTGCATATCTTAAGGCACAGATATCATAGTTAAAAGAAATAGTCTAGAGAAAAGCATGTTAATATTCATTTCCATTGCCGCTTAGAGATTGTGTTTTGGGCTTTCAACAGTGTGTTTACTGAGAAAATAGAGGGGTAAGCATCTTTTCAGCAAATGAGGAGTTTTAAATTTTCTGTTTTAACTTTGAGCTGTTCTATATAGAATATGTATTTACTTACCCCAGTTGCTAAAGTGGGAGCTAGTAGTTACAGGTTTTCCCCCCAAATATTTTAGAGTCTTGGGTAAAAAACAAACTGTACAGTTTCATCCTTTGTACATACGTGTTCAGCAGACTTTCCTTCTTGAACAAGTCTCCTCTGGCTGAAGCTTTGAAGTTGGTTTAATAGCAGAAGCTATTTGCAGGGATGGCAGTCCACTAACAGCTCAGTGAAAGAAGCAGTGTTTCTGGCCAGCATCCACACAATTAAAATGGTGCAATCTACAAGCCATCATCTGAAATAAATGAGAGTGAAGTCATTGTATAACAGGATCAATGTTTCTTGCTTTTGAAAATGAAAATCTCATATTTCACCTCAGTTGTGTTCCGTGTCTATTTGTGGAACAGCAAGACTCCAAGACAACAGCAAGCCACAAGTCAATGATGTATTCATTGATGTTTTTGCTCACAGTTGGTCTGTATATGTCACTCTTGAGATCAAAGATGCTGTGCTTTCTTCCTCTCTTAGTTTTGCTTCTTTGGTCTTCTGCCCCCTCCCCACTGCTTGCTGTGGATAGAGTCCATGCCCTATATCCTCCCCACACTGCATAATGCAGTGGGGTAGAGTGCTGGCATTGTGCGTGAGGAAATTGTGTTTCACAGTTTCCACTTACCTAAGAAGACTGCTGAGTGGCCTTGGGCAAATTGTGTTACCTCTCAGTCTAAATAACCTTACTTGACTATTGTAGTTCTCAAAGGCTAATTTGGAGAAAGGAATGCAATAGAAATGTAACGTATAAAAAGAAATTGATAAAAAAAAACAGGCACAGTTCAGTAAGAGCCGACATAGAACACCTAGTATCCTTTATAGCACTTGACGAAGAAGAAGAAGAAGAGTTTTGGATTTGATATCCCGCTTTATCACTACCCGAAGGAGTCTCAAAGTGGCTAACATTCCCCTTTCCCTTCTTCCCCCACAACAAACACTCTGTGAGGTGAGTGGGGCTGAGAGACTTCAAAGAAGTGTGACTAGCCCAAGGTCACCCAGCAGCTACAAGCCCTTCTTAAGTGGTTGTGTTATTATCTACTGTATTTAAAAATATTTAAAAATATTAGAGTACAAGCAAGTGGTGCTCTGCGACAAAATGTTGCTGTGTACTCCTGGTGTGTATGTGTCACCTGAGCCTAGGGAGGTTGAAAAAAAAAGTTAGCAGAAAAGATAGGAATCTTTGCTCTACCTAGGTTTTCTTTCTGAAGAAAAAAAAATTGTTTTTAAGAGTTCTGGAATATTTCAAAGGACCAGCCCTCATGCAAGTCAATGGAACCTGAGGCTTATGTGTGCTTGATTTGGCCTAGGAAGAGGTCTGAGGGGGAGCAATTTAAATAAATTGACCTTTTTGCCCCCTGAAAGGTATGGGGGATTCTAAACTGGGAATCCCAACCAAACTCAGCCTCAGCATTGACCTGCACAGCGGAACAGGATTCTCACACCCACAATTTAGTATTGATTCGTTCCGTTTATAGACAGCTCTGTACTATGATTGCAAGGCAGTTCGCAATAAATCAATGAAACTATAAAATGCAAATCAGTACAAACAGCACTCAGTACAATACCAAAATAAATTAATAAATCCATAAAATTTGTAACTGATTATTTCAGCAGACCGCTCACGTCACCCAGCACGAATCAAACATCAGCATGAAGAGATCCAAGATTTAGAACCTCAAAGCCAAAGTGAGAGCATTTGGGTCAAAATTAAGGGAGAGAAGAATAACAGAGACCTCATTGTGGGAGTTTACTATAGATCCCCAAGCCAAACGGAGGACATAGATGATGCCTTCCTGGAACAGATGGCCAAGCATGCAAAAGGAAGGGAGATAGTAGTAATGGGGGACTTCAATTACCCGGATATTTGTTGGATGTCAAACTCAGCCAAGAGCATAAGGTCAAACAGATTCCTCACTGGCCTTGCAGACAACTTCATTGTCCAGAAAGTGGGAGAAGCAACAAGAGGAACAGCCATTTTAGATCTGGTCCTAACCAATGTTGAGGACCTGGTTAGTGGGGTAGAAGTGGAAGGATCATTAGGTGCGAGTGATCATGCTCTTCTGAAGTTTACTATACAGCGGAAAGGAGCAGCCAAGCATACTAGGACTCAATTTCTTGACTTTAAGAAAGCCGACTTCATAAAACTTAGGGAAGTGCTGGGTGAGATCCCATGGACAGTAATACTAAAAGGAAAGGGAGTTCATGATGGCTGGGAGTTTGTTAAGAGGGAGATAGTAAAAGCACAACTTCAGGCAATACCAATGAGACGGAAACATGGAAGGTGCCTAAAGAAGCCAGGGTGGCTATCTAAAGAACTTTTAACTGAGTTAAGATTTAAAAAGGATGTGTACAAAAAATGGAAAAGAGGGGAAACCACCAAAGAGGAATTCAAACAAATAGCCAGCACGTGTAGACACAAAGTCAGAAAAGCTAAAGCACAGAATGAACTCAGGCTTGCTAGAGAGGTTAAAAGCAACAAAAAAGGCTTTTATGGGTATGTTCGTAGCAAAAGGAAGAACAAAGAAACAGTGGGGTCACTCAGAGGAGAAGATGGTGAAATGCAAACAGGGGACACAGAAAGGGCTGAACTCCTCAATGCCTTCTTTGCCTCAGTCTTCTCCGATAAAGAAAACAATGCCCGACCTGAAGAATTTGGAGCAAATGATTCAGCAGAGGAAACACAGCCCAGAATATTTAAGGAGATAGTACAAGAATACTTGGCTAGTCTAGATGTATTCAAGTCTCCAGGGCCAGATGAACTGCATCCAAGAGTATTAAAAGAACTGGCAGATGTGATTTCAGAACCACTGGCAGTCATCTTTGAGAATTCCTGGAGAACAGGCGAAGTCCCGGGAGACTGGAGGAGGGCAAATGTTGTCCCTATTTTCAAAAAGGGGGAAAGAGAGGACCCAAATAATTATCGCCCAGTCAGTCTGACATCAATACCAGGGAAGATTCTGGAGCAGATCATTAAGCAAACAGTCTGTGAGCACCTAGAAAGGAATGCTGTGATCACCAATAGTCAGCATGGATTTCTGAAAAATAAGTCATGTCAGACTAACCTGATCTCGTTTTTTGACAGAATTACAAGCCTGGTAGATGAAGGGAACGCAGTGGATGTAGCCTACCTTGATTTCAGCAAGGCATTTGACAAGGTGCCCCATGATATTCTTGTAAAGAAGCTGGTAAAATGCGGTCTTGACTATGCTACCACTCAGTGGATTTGTAACTGGCTGACTGACCGAACCCAAAGGGTGCTCATCAATGGTTCCTCTTCATCCTGGAGAAGAGTGACTAGTGGGGTGCCACAGGGTTCTGTCTTGGGCCCGGTCTTATTCAACATCTTTATCAACGACTTGGATGATGGACTCAAGGGCATCCTGATCAAATTTGCAGATGACACCAAACTGGGAGGGGTGGCTAACACCCCAGAGGACAGGATCACACTTCAAAATGACCTTGACAGATTAGAGAACTGGGCCAAAACAAACAAGATGAACTTTAACAGGGAGAAATGTAAAGTATTGCACTTGGGCCAAAAAAATGAGAGGCACAAATACAAGATGGGGGACACCTGTCTTGAGAGCAGTACATGTGAAAAGGATCTAGGAGTCTTGGTTGACCACAAACTTGACATGAGCCAACAGTGTGACGCGGCAGCTAAAAAAGCCAATGCAATTCTGGGCTGCATCAATAGGAGTATAGGATCTAGATCAAGGGAAGTAATAGTGCCACTGTATTCTGCTCTGGTCAGACCTCACCTGGAGTACTGTGTCCAGTTCTGGGCACCACAGTTCAAGAAGGACACTGACAAACTGGAACGTGTCCAGAGGAGGGCAACCAAAATGGTCAAAGGCCTGGAAACGATGCCTTATGAGGAACGGCTAAGGGAGCTGGGCATGTTTAGCCTGGAGAAGAGGAGGTTAAGGGGCGATATGATAGCCATGTTCAAATATATAAAAGGATGTCACATAGAGGAGGGAGAAAGGTTGTTTTCTGCTGCTCCAGAGAAGCGGACACGGAGCAATGGATCCAAACTACAAGAAAGAAGATTCCACCTAAACATTAGGAAGAACTTCCTGACAGTAAGAGCTGTTCGACAGTGGAATTTGCTGCCAAGGAGTGTGGTGGAGCCTCCTTCCTTTGGAGGTCTTTAAGCAGAGTTGGACTCTAAGCAGTTGGACTCGATGGCCCTTGTGGTCTCTTCCAACTCTATGATTCTATATCACAGAGTTTCCTTGGTTTCCCAAAAAGGGAATTAGGAGGCCAACCAGAGTGCTGTCGGATGCAGTACTGGGGGCTGCTGCTGAGATGGAAACCTGTGAAAATTGACCTCCCCAGCCCCTTTTCCAGCTAAGAATGCAGGAGCCTGATACATATGCTCTTTATGACTAATCTATAGGATAGATATAGAGCTGAGGTGGGAGTTGAGCTCCTGACCTTAAATGTCCTTTTGTGCTGCAGCTTGTAATAGACTCTTGTGTAAATCACAAAGGGGGGGAAAGGGAATGAGTAAACTAATCCATAGTAATGTGGAGCAGAAGGAAACTAAAGTATAAATATGCAAACACTCCTTTTAATGCCACTTGTGATGCAAAGAAGTAAATAGGGATTTGAAATAATCTGATGCTGTGGAGGCGCTCTGAGGTTTGAAGATGACCGAGGACGGGGATGGATGTGACTGACGCATTATAAATTTATACATCATTTGAAAATACATTTCATAAAAGGGAAAACATATTACTAGCTTTCAGTTAGTCTAATACTGTAGCAGATAAGTTTGGTATGTGAGCAATGCTTTTTTTCAGCCGGAGTGCAGTTCCAGCACCTCTCAGGTAGGCACCATTGCTGCCAGTGCTCCCACCAGTAAATAATAATAATATTTTTTAAAAAAAAAAATCAAACTCTTCTTCATATTATACCTCCAGTTGTTGTTGTTTTTTACTCTTTATAGTAATATTGTTAATGGAGTGGTTGTATTTTTATTTTGCTGTAAAGGTAGTTTAACTATACATACAATATATTGTTGAGAACTTGCCTATAATGCACAGGATGTAATATCGTATAATAGTCTCGATGCTAATGGAAGTGTGGTGTTAAATCAGCTTAGGCACAAAAGTTCGCAGATTCTTATAGTATAACTGCTATTGTGGGTTGACTTTGTGTAAGAGTGTTTTCACATAGCTGGTCAACTTTTGACGTTTAAGTTAATAATATATAATTTCTTTATGAAGCCACAGATTGCCTTGCACCTGTTGTTGAAGATGCAGAGGTTCATAACAAGACATACGGGACTGGAGATAAATTAATAATCAGCTGTCATGAAGGATTCCAGATCCGTTACCCTGATTTAGACAACATGGTTTCAGTGTGTCAAGACGATGGAACGTGGGATAATCTGCCCATTTGTCAAGGTTTAGTACACCAGAACATCCTCTTTTATAGACCTTACACCTTGTCTCAGTGTAACTTGCCTATTTATCTTTCTTATTTCTTATTTCGTTTACTGCTGAAAGAGATAAGGGTTACCTATAGTTCTTTGTACAGTAATACAGTAAAAGGTAAAGGTAAAGGTACCCCCTGCCCATACGGGCCAGTCTTGACAGACTCTGAGGTTGTGCGCCCATCTCACTCAAGAGGCCGGGGGCCAGCGCTGTCCGGAGACACTTCCGGGTCACGTGGCCAGCGTGACAAAGCTGCATCTGGCGAGCCAGCGCAGCACACGGAAACGCCGTTTACCTTCCCGCCAGTAAGCGGTCCCTATTTATCTACTTGCACCCGGGGGTGCTTTCGAACTGCTAGGTTGGCAGGCGCTGGGACCGAGCAGCGGGAGCGCACCCCGCCGCGGGGATTCGAACCGCTGACCTTTTGATCGGCAAGCCCTAGGCGCTGAGGCTTTTACCCACAGCGCCACCCATGTCCACAGTAATACAGTACCTTTTGCCAAATGACTTTTTTTCAATGAACATGGACAAAAAACATATTTGCATACCACTTGGTTTAGTACAAAGGTAGGGAACCTCAGCTCAGCACTCTGGCCACTCTACCCAGTCTTCAGGACTCTTCCCAGGCCATTCTCAGCCCCAAGGCCCTACCTCTCTCCCTACACACTGTACTGGGCATTCCTCAAATACTCTTGCCTGGTTGCAAGGTGTCCTTGAACTGTGGCAGTGTCTTCTGCTTCCCTGGATGAAGGCTGCAGGGAGCGGGGCAGTGTGTGGATAGAAACCTCTGGCTTTTGAGTGGCTGAAATGTAACATCCATTACTTTGTCCATTTATGTCTCTGACCACATCCATTTTTATGTCTTGCACCAACCACAGGTGTGGGAAAAAAAATTCAACTTCTGTTTTAGGATGACCACTTGCACATCACCGCAGAAGATAAAATGCCCCCTAAAGAGTGGATGGAAGATGTTAGATTTGTATAAAGTTTGCATATGCCTACTGTACACTGAAGGGATGCGGGTGGCGCTGTGGGTTAAACCACAGAGCCTAGGGCTTGCTGATCAGAAGGTTGGCGGTTCGAATCCCCACAACGGGGTGAGCTCCCGTTGCTCGGTCCCTGCTCCTGCCAACCTAGCAGTTCGAAAGCACATCAAAGTGCTAGTAGATAAATAGGTATTGCTCCGACGGGAAGGTAAACGGCGTTTCCGTGTGCTGCACTGGTTCGCCAGAAGCGGCTTAGTCATGCTGGCCACATGACCCGGAAGCTGTACACCAGCTCCCTCGGCCAATAAAGCGAGATGAGCACCGCAACCCCAGAGTTGTCCGTGACTGGACCTAATGGTCAGGGGTCCCTTTACCTTTACTGTACACTTTATAACTTTTCTGCATATATATTTAGAGAATAGTTCTAGCTACATTTTAGTTGCCCCTGTTGCTAGACAGGGAAAGCTTTATTTTCAGGTGACTGATTTGTTTTAGGTTTTAAACTTTTTAAAAAGTTTCAGATTTTACTTTTAGTGGAGTTATGCAGTGTCTATTATGCTTTCCTGCCATAAGTGAAAATGAGCAGATATGTTTTATTTTAAAAGTCTTGGAGAGCAGGTAAGGAAAAAGTGAGCCCTAAGGAATGCTCCCATTCTCTTCTTCTTTTCCTAGAAGGGAGAGGTGTTTGTATTTTTGCTTATAAAATCTATTTATAGACTGCCTGTTTAGGCATAGCCCACTCAAGGCACCCTATGTATCATAAAAACACAATACAATTTTAAAACACAGCTATATAATTAAAATGGCAACTGTACAAACTTTTTTAAAACACAGGTCGGTTAAAAATAAATAGCTGTGCAGATTCTCGCTGCTAAAGAGCTATACTTCTTAAAGTAGCTTTCTATTTTAAGCTCATAAAATAAAGACTTAAAAGAGGGGGGAAAGCTGCCTGAAATAAACCCTCCTATAAATTTGAGAAGTTGAGGCACTCTCAATTTCCATGGGGAGAGTGCTCCATAAACTGGGGCAACCACAAATAAGGCCTTCTCTCCCATGGCACTGACCAAAGAAACAAAGATGAGCAAATATTTGTGCTTGGGAAAGGCCCATTTGGGTGTAAGTCCTTCAAATAACTTGGTCCCCATTTGTACTTTAGGTTAAAACCTACACTTTCAGTTGGTCCTGGAAACACAAAGCTGGTGAGGAACAGGTTTTACATACTCTGATCACCAACATCAAGGTGGCAGCATTCCTTTGCAGTTAAGTTTCTGTACTTTAAATGTCCAGAAAAAGAAAGTTGCATATTTCTGAAGCGGCCTGCAAGAATGCCTTAGTGTCAGTTATAAGCACATCTGCACAGTTGGGGTGGTGGTAAGAATGCATTTCTTGGTGTCTAGGAAAAATTTGTAGCATAAGGAGGAGAGGCAGTTTCTGAGGTAAATCTGGAGCTTGTATCATGCTGTGGAATTGGATGCCAGTGCAGATAGATGTCTGACATTCCCATCCATTTCAGGTGCCATGCCCTGTTACCTAAAGTTTCCAAGCAGGGCAAATTACAATAAATGGGCTATGCTTGGCTGAGGGAGCACAAATTGCACTACGACTAGATGCAAAATAATAGACAAGGCCATAGTGCCTTTTGACACTGTAAGCAAACTTAAACCAAATGTACTCCTCAAAACAGATAATACACTGTTGTGTGTGTTTAATGGCAAAGTCACAAAAGTCACAGAATTAAGTACCTTTTTGGTATGTTCACATAGGGTTGTATTGGATTAATTTCTACTCATAGTATATCCACTGAAATGAATTGACTGAAGTTAGTTTTGTCTATTAACTTCAATGGAAATACTTTGACTATGATGGCTAACACTGGGTGCAACCTATAAGTTCCTATTTGAAATATCCTCATTGGGGATCTTTTGTTGCCAGCTAAAAATATGTTGGTGTATGGCTGTAAGAGTACATTAAATTTATTATATTAAATGAAGCTCAGAATAGGAGGCCCACAAAATAAACGTGGTGCTCATTGAGATCGTTTTACGAATCTTTGAGCCTTGTTTGATGGAGAAAGTAAGAATAAAGTTTGCTGCCCACTACAAAGCTCTCCTTTCAAGCAGCATCCATTTGCTTGCCTAAATATTTTTGCAGCTAGTGGGTAAATGTGGAAGCTTCTTAGTGTGGATGTTCAGACCCATTGCAAGTAGTTGGAACTAGCCAATATTCCTTTCTTAACTGCATGCACTGATTACAAGATATATAAGATGTTGAGTATCACACCTTGGAAGTGAATAAGCAATTGTTTTGATAAGTATCAGTCTAAAAATGAAGGCTTTCATGTGAAAAAGAATAATTATTAAACTAGAAACTGAAGGGGAGGGGCAGAATGTAGAAAAAGAGAAAATACTGCCATTTTTAATTAATCCTATGCTGATTTTGCAGATGGTATACTGTAATTCGCAACAGCTGTATGCTAAACAAGTAGGACTAGTGATCTGGCACATGAATCTGAGAGTCGAGTCAGATGAGCAGGAGTAACATTCGCTGTGGGGAGAGAAGGGAATATATATTTTAGCCTGATAGCTGTAATTGGGATATTTTAAAAATAAGCGTCTCATAATAAGATACCTCCTTCTTCTTAATTTGCAGGTTGCCTGAGGCCATTGGTTCTTCCTCATAGTTACATTAACATATCTGAGTTCGAGGCCTCCTTCCCAGTAGGAACTATGATATATTTTCAGTGCTTTCCTGGATATAAACTAGAGGGGACAGAGTTCCTTGAGTGCATGTATAACCTTATCTGGTCAGATAGCCCACCTAGGTGCCTTGATGTGGAAGGTAAAACATCTTATATCTTTTTAAAATATTTATTACTTGTCAGATAATATCTGGTATATTTTTTACTTCATTTAATGACTTTCCACTTCACCTTTCTCTAGAGCCAAACTTAGATGTTCTATTCACACAATTAACTATTATGTGGAAGGTTTTTTTTAAAAAAAATAAATTGCAGGTGTTGGGGTGGGGGATCCAAAAGTGGGACCAGTCTGACATGGGAGAAAAAAAGCCCCTTTATCCTCTCCTTGCTGCTGCAGTGCCAATTCAGGTCGCCGTCCCCCCATGCCTTCTATTTGCATTGTGTAAAAAGCTTCCATTGGAGTGAATGAGAGTAATATGCTCTGTGCATTCCATACCAAATAACAATTTTGGCCTAGCTCAGTCTGAAAAACTTTCTTGCAACTTATGACCTATTTTCATTCTGAAGTAGTACAATTCCAAGGGGACTGGACACCACTTGATTCTTCTGAATATGACCCCCCCCCACCCCGGTTAACTATCTTGAATGCATTTATTGTCTCTGTTCCCCCCACCCTGCCCGCATTTGTTCTCACCTGTTTTTTATCAAAATGTGTAAAATTGTGCCCATGACCGTCTCACATCCTTTGCAGTGCCTCATTGAAAACATGCCCATGAGAACAGACTGTTTCTGCTTTTCTTCTATCCTTCAGTCTTTCCGCCAATTGGCATTTCTTGACAAGCAAATATGAGTCCTTGCCTGAATAGTGATAACATTAATGTAGTTTATTCTGAGGTACAAACAAACGCCCTTAAAATACACTGCTTTTTTTGAAATTTAAATGTGAATGTATAAAAAAAGATTGCTTCCATTTAAACTTTGCTGAGAATATGTCCTCCTCAGTCCTGGCATCTGAAATAGTACTCCTGGTTTCCAGGATCATTTCTCAAGCCTATTCCAAGAATTTGTAGTGCATTATCTACTTCTTAACCTTCCAGTACATAGGCCAATTGGGGTTGGGGGGGTGGGGGGTGGAGACTGCATATCATTTTCAGTCATTGAACAATTTCATACATCTAAGTTTCTTCAAAACCCTGGATGAAACTGTATCTGATCCTGGTGAATTATTGCTTTTGGACCTATTGATTTGCTCTGAAACCTTTTTCTGCAGGAACTTCTATTAGGGATAGTGTTCAGCACAACTAACCAACTGAAAAGAATTGCCCTATGTAGGTGCTCACTTTTGTGTGAAGATGGAGGGATCGTGTTCATTGGCACTGTGTTGAACGGTATCACTTTCAGTCCTATAGAATGAGCGTGACAGTCTTACAATGTAATATTTTGGCAATATATCTTCAGTGTTGCTTTTCCTTGGTTTGTTGCCCTTCAGTAGTCCAAAGCCCCCATTGATTCTCTGACATCTTTCCTTCCTCTTCTTTCGTAACTGTATTTTATTGCTTTTCAGAGTTTACAAAAAACAAACAGTATAAACAACTCTGGGGTTCTACAGATAATGATAATACAAGTAGTAAAAAAAAAGTCTTAAACATATGCATTGTCGAATAGAAAAATGAGTACCTGTGACTGATTTTCTGTGTCCCAATTGTCAAGCTTCGCCAAAGACTCTCCTCCTGCAAGAGAGGGGAGTGGTTGTGGTCGGGAGCCGGACTCCGCCTCAAGCAGGGGGCGTTAGCCCCCTGCCTCCCACTCACCTGGCTGGCCTACGCCCGCGGGCAGGCACCCAACCAGGTGCCTGCGAGGGGGCGTGTTTAGCAGCCCAAATTGCTGCGGCACCAGCCTTCCAGCCTCACTTTTTGTCCTCGTGTTTTCATTCCACTACGCGGTCCTCGAACCACAAAAGGAGATTTGAGCAAGCAGGGTGTGGAAATTAAAACTCTATTGATACTTCTTTCTAACTTAATACCCATGCAGTTTATTCTTGTTTGTGCACATAATACTAAGTTACAGTTTAGTGTGCTGTACAAACAACACCTGTGAAATTTGTTCAGAGCCCCTGCCTGACTTCTAAAAACGAATAGTGTGTCTGTGATAGAGGGGCGGGGTTGTTCTTTTCCTTTAGCCCCTGACTCCAGAAATTACATTTGTTATTTCCTTGTTATGTTCCTAAATATGGACAGATGGGGGAAAGTTACTTCCTGTGGTTAGTGGTGAGAAGGGAGGGTACAGGCAGCAGGTTTAAGTTGGAAGATGGATCAATTAAGGTTTTACTAACCAGGAAGAATTGTCTATCAAGAATGGTTTGGCAGAGGAACAAATATTCATGTGAACATGGAGATTTTCAGCACTGGAGGCTTTTAAAAAAAGGATAATTAGATGATCTGTCAGGAATGATTTGGATATAATTGGTATTGCTGAAGGTCAGGAAAATTGGTTTAGTTGGCCTTTACTGTGTCAATTTTTTATCTTGATCTGTGCATAAACACTGGTGCAAATATTTATGGAATTACACCTGTATTGTATTGTTGCTTGTTGCTTGTATATACATACACAAATGTTCAGTATTAACAGATAAGTGCAAAGTATTTTGTATGTAGAATAAAAACACTGGAGATAAGAAGAATTTTCAAAATCGGCCTAGTTTATGTAGGATTCTTTCTTACTCCATAATAACACGTTTGCAAGGTTTGCGTTTTTCTTCTTTCGGAGACAGTTTTTCGCATTTCAACTGGTAATAAACCTAAATAAAATAATACTGTGTTAGTGTCGCATGAATAAAATGAAATTATATTATCCATTTCTGAAGGCTGTCATATCTGTGCATATTAACACCCGATTTGGTTGCCTCCCCCATCCACTCCATTATGGCATCCTGGAAAGCATATTACTGCTGAAATAATAGAAGTGTTTTGAAATATGCCGTACTGTAGTAAGTTTGCAAACACATCCCACCCCCCCCGTCTGTGGACATTGTAGGCTTGTATAGGCAGGTGGCAGAGGCTGCAAAGTGACTCTGTCCTGTTGCATATCCTAACAGCAGTTCTCCCCCTCCCCACCTCTCCATTGCTGAATGTTGATAATGCTTGAAGCCATGCACACAATACAGTGCTAAGAGAACAAAATATTGGCTTGTTATCTGCGTCTCCTTTTTATGGCTTCTATTCCAGTTTGATAATAGGGTTGTCAAACTAAATCACTGCTTTATTCCTATTGTCACCTGTGTGTTCTGTGTAGAAACCCCTTGGTACAGTTTCTAGTTAATCAAATCTCTAAGCATCTTTTTTTTTTTTTTAAGCTGCATTTTCTTCCCCAAAGTGTTGCAATAAATATCTTTCGAAAAATGCATTTCCCCTCCTCCCTGGACTATCAAATTGTGCTAAAGGGTTAGGCAATAAGAGAGAAGAGCTGGTTACTCCCCGAGGCCTGCCTTTTAATATTGAACTTACCTTTTATGTAAGGATAAGCATGCTTGCTTTTTGTCATGGAGGGAGAGCTGTATTACCGTTTTGTATCTTGGACCATATTGATTGATTGATTGAGCACGAGGTCAGTGGATAAATCTTCTTTGCTTTATTCCCACTAAAGGTTTTGTATGTTTTAGAACATGGGTAGGCAAACTAAGACCCAGGGGCTGGATCCAGTCCAATCACCTTCTAAATCCGGCCCATGGACGGTCCAGGAATCAACGTGTTTTTACATGAGTAGAATGTGTCCTTTTATTTAAAATGCATCTCAGGGTTATTTGTGGGGCCTGCCTGGTGTTATTACATGAGTAGAATTTGTACTTTTATTTAAAATGTTTCTCGGTTATTTGTGGGGCATAGGAATTCGTTCATTCTTTTTTCAAAATAAGGTCCCACAAGGTCTGAGGGACAGTGGATTGGCCCCCTGCTTGAAAAGGTTAGCTGACCCCTGTATTAGAAGCTATACTATCAGTCATAGCTTCAAACTCAGCTAACACAGAGGAGATTTAAAAGTCAATATTATGCCATTTATAGTTACTTTTGAATGATACTCAGATTATTTCATTTTCCAGACTGCTGCTGCTGCTGTTACTACAGTGGTACCTCGGGTTAAGTACTTAATTCATTCCAGAGGTCCGTTCTTAACCTGAAACTGTTCTTAACCTGAAGCACCACTTTAGCTAATGGGGTCTCCTGCTGCCGCTGCACCGCCGGAACATGATTTTTGTTCTCATCCTGAAGCAAAGTTCTTAACCTGAAGCACTATTTCTGGGTTAGCGGAGTCTGTAACCTGAAGTGTATGTAACCCAAGATACCACTGTACTTTATTTATTGCCTTATACTATGGGATCTGAAGGCGATTTATATCATAGAACAGAAAACATAAGAATTGGTTCAATTAAATAAAACCACAAACTAAAAGTGATCATATATAAATCCAAAGCAATTTTAAACCTCCAACTGCCACTACAGACATTTGTATAAGTAGCATTTTTTTAAAAAAAAACAGCTGTTAAGAGAGCCATCAAGCAATGGAACATACAAATTAACAGTAGGTGGTGGTTGCCTGAATTCACTCAGTTTGGGGGTTATGATGGGGAGAGTGCCTGTCATAATCATCCACTTGGATAAATAATTGTCCTCAAGCTTCCTTCACCAACCTCATTTTCATAGAATCATAGAATCATAGAGTTGGAATAGACCACAAGGGCCATCGAGTCCAACCCCCTGCCAAGCAGGAAACACCATCAGAGCACTCCTGACATATGGTTGTCAAGCCTCTGCTTAAAGACCTCCAAAGAAGGAGACTCCACCACACTCCTTGGCAGCAAATTCCACTGTCGAACAGCTCTTACTGTCAGGAAGTTCTTCCTAATGTTTAGGTGGAATCTTCTTTCTTGTAGTTTGGATCCATTGCTCCGTGTCCGCTTCTCTGGAGCAGCAGAAAACAGCCTTTCTCCCTCCTCTATGTGACATCCTTTTATATATTTGAACATGGCTATCATATCACCCCTTAACCTCCTCTTCTCCAGGCTAAACATGCCCAGCTCCCTTAGCCGTTCCTCATAAGGCATCATTTCCAGGCCTTTGACCATTTTGGTTGCCCTCCTCTGGACACG